CTAGGCTGCATGCTTAAGAACACTTTCGTTGACCGCATTATTATTAGCTTGAACCTATAATTGTTGATGCTAAAATCCACGCAGTTTCCCTCTAAATTACACAAAAACAACATCTGCATGGCGACAAAAGTGCATTGTGAGTGACTTCAGCAGCAGGCGCTCAGCTCTGCACAGGCAGCTGCACAACAACCTGCAGACAACTGGACAGAGACGCTCACATCATTATTTGACTTGAATTGAAGTTGCCTGTTCAATAAAATAGCATATACACCTTATTATTAGTGTACTGAAAGCCTTCTTTCCAACGAATGTATCTTTGCCATCATGCACAGGTAGGAGTGAAGTTATTACGCAGACACACAAAGACTTTCCAACGATTATTGCAGTTGAGATTTGTGGTTTTATTGCAGTAAATAGTATAAACAGATAGCGGTTGATTTTGATCTGTGGACTCCAATTCGTGGTCTATGATCTATGGTCTGTGGTGTGGTGAGAACTGTGTGTGCTCCCCCTATCTGTGTCCCCCACTTCCTGTCACCTATGCCCCTTATATACAACCATGTGGAACCAATCACTGCCACCTAGTGTCCAAAATACTAATATAAATATATCCAAACAAAATATCATGCCAACAATAAACATAAATGTCTCCTACACTTAGCTTGTATCTATAATTGTTGATTTGTTTGGTATTATGTTAACTAACTTTTTGTACCCTATGGTTGAATGCACTTATTGTACGTCGCTTTGGATAAAAGCGTCAGCTAAATGACATGTAATGTAATGTAATGTAATGTAACTACCAATAGACTACTTTAGACCATAATTGTTCAGAGTGTGTAGTTTTAATAAGACAAAAATCGAATTGTTATGTGTAACGTGTAGCTGTTCAATAGTTCAATAGGTTATATCTGATTATATCTAATAACAAAGCAACAAAGCATTAAATCTACCCTAAACAACACACTCCTGGTAGAGATGGACGAGTTGCCTCTAAGCCCATCAAAATGAGCTACGCCATATTGAGTGAAACTAGTGGGAAAATGTTTTGTTGGAGTATCAGATCAGTGGTGAAAGAGTTTGGGTTAAATGGGTATGAGTTTAGTCCCAATGTAACGTGGGGAAATGTTCCGCCGTGGAGTTTTCCAGCAAACAATGTGGATCTAACACTAATAGAACAGAGGGAAAAATTAATGGGAAAAACGTGTGATATTGGCTATCAGACTCAAGAGCACATTAACAATACGTATTATAAATACCTGCAAATATACACTGATGGACAGTTTGTAAAAGAGACGGGACCAAGTCGTAGGATCTAGTGGGCAACGGTAGTTCATTTTATGGGGCACCGTTTATAAAATGTCGAACGTTCTAAAATCCAGCTTTTTGTACATTTAGCACTATTATATGAAAAAAAACACGACAATATTCAGATGTCACTCTTTCAAACATTTGGAGAGAAATTCATGTAAATCCATCCAATAACTTTTCCAAGGATAATGTTTGTCATAACATTATATATGAATATAAATGTTAAATATAAATGTTAAATGTTCACTCTACATGTCAGCCTTGACGACTGAACATTACAATATTTACGGTAATTCACGCCGCAGCAACACAAGCTGGCAAATCCGGATGAATCAGCTGTTGTTATAGAGCAGGGTGTCAAACTTATTTTAGGAAGGGGGCCACATACTGTCCACGTTGAAGTCATGCGGGGGGGCACAGGAGAACATTGTCGTTTTTTGCTTTTTTTCACATAATAATGCTAAATGTACCAAAACTGCGCAGGACTTTAGAACGTGCGACATTTTACAATCGGCATGTGAGCAGTGGACCCTGAATGTGCACTCCGGACAGCAGGTGGCGGTGTGCAAATACACAAGATTCAAACCTGAAGAAGAAGAAGAAGAAGCAGAAGAAGAAGAAAAAGAAGAAGAGGAAGAGGAAGAATCGACCCGTTTCCAGTAACTTCTCCGGACATTTTGTAGCAACATTGTTCACTTTTGATCTCAACTCGTTTTCGTGCAAATCGCTCCTGGATTCCTCTAAAGAAGACCAGCGACATTCTTGAGTCGGATATGATTTTTTTCTTCTTTATGTCTTAGTTTTGAACTTTCTGCTCGTTTCCTTCAAATAATCCTCCACCAGCTTCGGTGTTTTGGCTCAGCACCACCTTCCTCTGGCCTCCACCTTCAGCTTCTTATCGCATTTTGTCGCACAGCTGATTGAGAGAAACTCGTGTTTCTGTTTCTCTTCACGGAGTCGTTGCTTCTATTCTCGTTATCTGATCTGAACCAACTAGTCCAGCTGGTTCCACCCAGCTCGCCTCCATTTACCCTCCGAGAGAAGCGACCCCACCCTTTAGTTCACCTCCACCCTTTAGTTCACCTCCACCCTTTAGTTCACCTCCACCCTTCATCCGCAACGCACAATCCGGCAGAAAAGCGTCCTCAAGCGGATCTGGATCCATTAAACTCTCTTTTCTTTCACTCTTTTGTGTTATTTTTTTGTTTCCTCGTGAGTCAAACCGGAGAAACAGGAAGTGAAACTTTCTTCACTTCCTGGTTTCATCGTCCAGCTTCCATTCTGCACAATGAGGTCGTGCGTCGTTCTTCTCTTTGTTTCTCTGCTCACATTATGTGAAGCACAAGGTGAGAACTTGATTTATATATTTTGGGTCAAAGCTTTTATACCGCAGCACTATTTCTACAATAGAAGTTGAGTTAAAAACGTATTTTTGAATCTTTCTGTGTTTCTTTGTGGTTAATCAGGATTCGTGTTCTTCTTGTACGGAGCTCAGAGGCAGGAAATAGTCTCAGTATGAGTTTACTATTTTCATTTAAAAATCTTCCGTAATCTCCACGTCTTATTTCAATGAATATTCTGAGTGTTCCAACAGAAGACGTGTGTGATTCAGAGGAAACATTCAGGTGCTTTTAGACACTTTCTCACCACTTGTTGAAACGGGCTGAACGCTTCTTTCCCTCCAAGACAAATGTTGACCTTTACTCCTCTCAGAGTTTAACTCCTTCAGCGTTCAGTCTGTGGACGTCTTATTTTCTAAAGTCGTCCATGTTCAGTGTAGCTGATGCTGGGGGACATTAGTGTGGTGAGACGGAGGGAAAGGACAAAGAGACAGAATGGAAATACTTTGTCACGTCAAGAAGAAGAACTTTGAGCAGCAACTTGCTCTCAGTGGGTTTAGTTTCTGCTGTTAAGCTTCTCTGTGTCCTCAGGAAGAGACGACGTGAGACATTTGAAGAGACTTCTGTCACTTCATGTTAAGCAGTGATGAGCTGAAGGTGAACCGCTGGTTCAATGTGTAATAAATAAAGTGTAGTGATGGAGGAACATTCAGCAGTGAATGATTCATCACATATTGTGTGTGATGTTTATTGTATCATGTGTCTACTGTTTTTACAGGAACCAGTGTGACTCCTGTGTTTGTGCTGAAGGGACGTGATCTGCTCCTCAAGCTTCATGCTGATCCTCCTGAGAGGGTTTTATATGTTGACTGGAAAATCAATGAAACAGTTGATTTAGTAAGATTTAAACCTAGTGGAGAAGGAACAGTCACTGGAAGGGTTCAGTTTGCTGAGAATAAATTCTCTGTGATATTGAAGAATGTACAAGAGGTCGACAGTGGAGTTTATTCTGCTGTAGCAGTAACAGATACAGAAGACAAACTACTGACTGAATACAAGGTCACAGTTCAAGGTGAGTCTGTAAACATTTCACTGATAGTTTTTTGCCGCCATGTTTCATAAACTCTTCACAGAAACCTCCCCCCCCTCAGGGCCAGTGTCTCCAGTTGAACTGATCGTGGACCGAGTGGACTCCAGCAGCTCAGGGTCATGTGACCTCCATGTGACCTGCAGGACTCACAACGCTCACATCAGCAGCACTTTCAGATGTGTCGACCGGGTCTGCATTCAGGAGGGAGGAGAGCGACCAGAGGTCACGACCTCTGGGGCTTCTCTCCAGGTCTACATGTTGAACAACGTGATCATCTGTAACCATAGCAACCAGGTTCACAGGACCCACAAGTTCAATAATGCTGAACAACATTGCTACCCAAGTACTGGTAAGACTGAAAGAGGAGACGACTTCATGATAACAATGACCCCTCTGCCCCTTTAACAAAACACACCTTAAGGTCGGCGCATTCTTCTGCGTCGTTGCGTCGACGCACTCGTTTCAATTCATGAATGCATGATCTAAAAGTCCTGCGTGTGTTGCAGAGCGATTCACCGCCAGAACAACAGGTGGAATGATGTGGTTTTGTTTAAGACGACCTAGAGAGTCACGTCTATTTATTTATTTGTTTATTTATTTATCATAGACTTTATTGCCCCGTGCATCCACACTGCTGCTTTTCATCACGGACACATTTGTCCCGTATTTTCCTCCACAACTTTGTTCCTCTCAGCGATCTCTACAGTCCGCCAATGACGGCTTGTATAAGCGCTCATATTTACGCATTTCTTCGGACAAAAGTTCTTAAATCTGATCCGTTCTCTCGTAAACATTCTTCGTTTTAATAATGTTGGTATCGGGCTATGAAAGCGGAAATGTGAGACTCCGTAAAGGACGTAGTTAGCGGACCAATCGCAGCCTGCTGCGCTGCGGGAGGCTGCGTAGCTTTTGACGCAAGCGTAGAAAAATGGGTCGACACACGCGAGGACGCAAGGAGGTGTGAAAAGACACGCAAGGGACACGCGAGGGGGTCTAGCGTCGCTCTGAAAACGCAGAAGCATAAACTAGGCTTTATAGTTTCAACCATTCATGACTATAAATGTCATCACTAATTTCTCTGCTTTAATTGGAGGAATTAAATGATTTCTTACTATAGATCACGTTAAAGATGTTTTCACAATCCAAACTTCAGTCCGTCAGAAGCACATCAGGCTGTGAACATGTGACACATTCTCAGCTGTGCTGCGTCATTTAAACCAGGAAGACTCTTCTGATCTGGTTCTTGTTTTGTTTTACAGATTCTCCCTCTCACCGTGGCTGGGTGATTGCTGTTTGCATTCTCAGTGCCATAGTTGTGGTTCTAATCGTCTGGCTTTATAATGATCGAAGGAAAAGAATCAGTAAGTCCAAGTGAACGTTCCAACAAATAATCTCAACATCTGTAAAATCCTCTTTGTTTCCTCTACATAGAAACTCAATGTCTCCAAGTCCTCCATAACTATGTACCCACCTGTTTGGTTAAATAGCCCAATATCACAAATCACAGTTTGCCTCCGAGCGCTGAACAATCTGTACAACACAGGACGTCTTTTACTGCATCAGATAAGGAAACACGTCTGTTAAAATATACATGTGATATTTTACCAAAAGGTGCTTTTTATCTCACTGGGATTGTCATGATTTGCTGTTTTGATACAAACATCCCAACACATCAAATCCAACACGTCAACATGTGCTTCTGTTTGAGGATGGAGTAAATTAGACACCACCCAAAAGATGGAGTCACTTTATCTGCAGCTCAAGTAAAGTAAATGTACAACAGTTCAGATCTTTAAAGGGCTGTTTGTTCTTCTTCCATCACTGACCTGCAGGTTTAATACTGAAAGATGAAGTTCTTATAAAAGGATCTGTTCAGGTAAGCGTTGTATTTTTTTTTAAACAAATTTAAGAAATGTATTAGAATCCAAACCTTGTGTCAAGGTTGTTTCCAGGTTTTCCAGGTGGCTTCGTGCTGCTACGTGCACACACCTGCTACGTGCACACACCTGCTACGTGCACACACCTGCTGCTTGTGCTCAGATCCGCTGGGAGGAACCTGATGATCCGTGGATCCAAACCGGGTCTCTTGTGGCCATTAGTCCTCTTCAGCCGTGTTTCTTCCTGCTGTGCACGTGTTGTTTGTTTGTGTCTCAGTCCGTCATCCACATTTTCCCACTTCGCCCAACAGCAACATGTCAAAACCTTAAAAACTCGTTGTGCGGAGATCAAATCCCACGCTGGTGTCTGAAATACTGAAACAATGTGATTTAAATGAGGCCACATGTTGGTAGTCACATGACGTCCACTACGTGGTCACGTGACCCTCCTTTGCTTCCACGTGTTGGCTCACACCAGTTAGCCACTTTCCTCCTGAGCCGATGGTTTTCTGCTTCTTACTTGTTTTAAAAAGCTCCTTTTACACAGAGAACAAGTCCAGAGACACAGAACAAGTATCATTTACAGTGTGAAAGAGGAACCAACTCTACATGGTGTTAAAGTTCTAGCTGCTTTATTTATGGCTCATGCTGCAGTGTGATGTGCTTTCTACCCCGAGAGATTCATCTGAACTCTTTGTGAAAAGAGACCGTATTTGTGTTTTGTAGCAGTTTAATGCGTTTTAGAAAAAACAGACTCATTATTTTTAACACAGAGACAGAAGTAATTAATCAGTGACTGTTAATCATCAGGAGATGATTCCCCACGTGGAAAATAGGTCCATTACAAAGAAGCAAGTAACCTTTTCTTACGTATGTGATTTATCCTGCAGGACTATGATAGACTTCTGAATGCGATATTAGCATCACAGAAGAACATGAGCCCAGCAGACGCTTGAGGTTCCTCCTACAGCTCCGTGCTGTCTGCCGCTGAACCGACTGATCCGCAGACCGGCTTCAAATTGGTGGAGAAGATTGACAATTAAAGAGGAAGGTTTTCCCAAATCCCCAAATTCTGCTGGTAGTTTGCAGCGTTATTGAAGCTTTCTATGTTTTATTTCATGTGATCTGCTTTAATGCTGAAAGATTCTCCTCCACACAAACGTGTCATTGGAGAGATTAAAAATCAATGATTAAATGTTACTGAGCATCACACACAAGCAGCTTTTTTTAGCATCACATTTGGAGATATTTTAATTACATCTTTTATATTGAAGGTCAACTTAGAAAAAGTAATAAATATGTTGTTGTCCTGCAGGAAGCTTCAGCTTTGGTTCCTGGTTTGATTCTTCATGTCACTTTTAATCTGATCATTTCCTACATTATTACATTTAGACTTTTAAGGCTTCACCTGATTGGTGAGATTTAAGCTGCATGATGCAGGATGCTTCTGTTATATTTTTATTTTATTTTTCAGACAAAAAAAAGGACTCATCTTTTCAACTGTGACAAATATGTGAAACGTGTCTTTATTTTAATATCATCATATATTGATTATTTGGTAAAAACAAAAAACCTGCGGATCAGAATTATGTACAATAAATACCGTACATGCAGATAAATATGCAATGTGTATTTTATCATTGTAAATTGAACCGTATGCAGTATTATACGGTATATTTAAGGTTATTCGCTTACATATAGTTGGTCTTGATTATACATTCAAGATGACATTCACCAAAAACACATTGACATGGTCTTGTGTGTGTGATATATTGTGTGTAATCAATGGATTATTGCTTTCTTGTAAAAATGTTACCATGAAGTTTTTTTCTTGCCAAAATGCATCTTTGAGTCACGTTTTTAATGTCTTTCCTTCACCAGGAAATATGTGCAAAGCTGAATTTATAAATCCTTTAAATCCTAAATAGTTTGCGTCCATGTTTGCTGCTCTGCGCTCGTCTTCCTCTTTTCTTCTCCTGGTGTGTTGCTGCCACCAGCTGTGAGTCAGTGGAACATCATCACGGGTTTAGAAGGTGACCTTTAAGTGGGAGCTTTCCTCCCGGGCAGCGTGACGTGTTTGACATCCATTTCTTTGTTGGTGCTTCTTGAAGTCCACGAGGTGAACAGTGATGACTGCAGACACCATAATGATCAGACCCACAGAGAACACCACCATCTTCACCAGGAACACACCACAGTGAACACACGCATGGTAGATTTATTCCTCTGTAAATGCTTCTTAAGCCAGTTCTTCACAATAGATTCATCAGGTCACAAACTAACACTTCACACTGGAAACATTACAACACAAGACACACAACTTTTTGCATCACATACAAAACAAAAGTGGTCCCACTGTTCAGGCGTGACTTTTTCTTTCTCCTCTTTTTTTTGTAAACGGTGTTCGGTCCACAGTTCTGCACGAGAGGACCAACTACCTCAAGGTTAGTCTTAATATGTGCAATAAACTGCAGCTAGAAGCAACATTTAAAAGAGCTAAATAAATAAAAAGCTGGTTGCCAAACTTGATGTTTGTTGCAGTCTGTTCAGAGACGTTAAGGAGGACGTATGAGGAGGAAGAGTCTCTGACACACAGACACAAACATTCACACATACAATTAACCCCCAGATGCATATTTTGACATGAATATTGAAAAATTCCATAGTATAGCATGAAAAAACATAAAAGTCATACTATAGTAAGTCATAAAACATTTTTTTGTCCTTTGTTCTGTTGTCGGGTCGAAGGGATTGATCTGATTACTTCAAATATTCAACTTTTTAGTTTTGTGATTATATTTTAATTTGAGGAAACCGGACATGCAGCTGAATCCATGTAGGATCAAGGTTACATTATAAATGATATATTATTAATAATATAATTCTTAATATAGTTAAAAGTTTTACATTATTGATCTGAAACAATGGATGACTTTCCTCCAACAATCGCGTCATTGGCAACGAGCTCCCAAACATCTCGGTGGGCCCCTGATTAGTAATCGAGTCGTACCTGATCTGTGTGGCTCCATCGTTGCGTCTCTGACCCCACAGACCACGTGACTACAGCTACAGCCAAGGACATCCATCAGGAGTCCATCAGGAATCATCGCTCCACCCTATTTACTCCTTTTCTTCCCGTTAATTCATCAATACCGCTCTACCGCCACCAGATGGCGACGTTATCAAACGTGAAAAAAACCCTTTAGGACACAAAGCCAGTGACGTCATCTGCGGAGGGACAGAGTGTGTGTGAAGGACAAATGTCCTGAGACGCATTACGTCATCCTCCACTAATATGATAATACATCTCAGTGCCAAGAAATGAGAGGAGCCATAATCCACAGAACGACTTCACATGTGAACAAGGGGATGAGATGGAGGTGATTGGTGGTGGAGAAAGAGGTGGAGGTGTGGGTGGTGGTGGTGGTGGTGGTGGGGCTTCTCCCTTGAGTCTGGAGTGCAGTGATGAAGGTGGTTCCAGACATTATTCCTCAATGAGAGCAGAAGGAAAGAGGAGAAGATGATCACTGTTACACACTGAGTAAAGACGAGAGACTGTCTTCTGTCCTGCTCTTTCTTTTCCAGATGTCTCTTGTTTCTTTTTCGCTTTGTCCTCATTTTCTCCCCCTGTCCTTCAGAGGAGAGAAGGACTGAGGAGGTCAACGGTGAGGAGAAATGAGACAAAGACGAGTAAGATGGTTGCAGAGAGGGGGAAGGTCTGAAGAATGAAAAGGTGAATTGGAAGCGATGCGTGAATTTGAGGACAGGAGGAAAAAAGAGCGGAGCGGTGAGGAGACGTCAAGAAGGAAACGAGGGAACAAAAGAATCAAATGCAACCAATAAAACAGAAGAAAGGGACACGAGAACTGCTGGAATGGGGGAGAAAAAAGGTGACAAAGGGTGAGAGAGGTGAGGAAAGAGGAAATAGACGACTGTAGAGGATGTAGGAGGGGAGGAGAGGATACATTTTGAAAGGAGGACACAGAAGAGGGAGAGAGAGATGGAGAGGAGAGGAAGGGAGGTGGTAGGAGATAGGAGGCAAAACAGGAGAGGAGAGAAGAAGTAGAGGAGGAAAAGTGACTGCATGGCTGAGGAGAAGACATGAGGAGAGGAGAAGATGTGATGGAGGACTCAGGAAAGGTGATGGACTGAGGAGAAAGGAGGAGAGGACAGGAAAGGAGATGGACTGAGGAGAAAGGAGGAGAGGACAGGAAAGGAGATGGACTGAGGAGAGAGGAGGAGAGGACAGGAGAGAGGATGGACTAAGGAAAGGAAAGAAGAGGAGAAGATAAGTGAGGGAGGAGAGGAGAGGAGAATGAGGCAAAGAGGAAAGGAAACAGTGTTAACGAGAGAGAAGGATGGACGGGATGATTTGAGGAAAGAACAAAGAGACTCGAGGAGAACCGAGGACGGCAGGAAGGAAAGACGTCCAGAGGACATCGGGACAATATTTCACATTAAAAAGAGTGACAGGAAAAGAGACAAAGAGACACACACAATACAGACACACAACACACACAATACAGACACAACACACACACAACACAACACAGAAACAACACAGACACACAACACAGACACAACACACACACAACACAGACACACAACACACACACAACACACACACACAACACACACACAACACACACACAACACAGACACACACTTTCCACGTCGGCTCAGCAGCGTTTTTAACAGAAGCCTCTGCACCTCCACGCTGACGCGTCGGCCTCCACGAGGCTCAAAGCCAGCGGCCGCTCCGCCTCCATCCATCTGAACGTCGCCCGACGTGTGAAAGAAAAGGCCGTCCAGTCCGGAGACGGGAAGCCAAAGACGCAGACGTCCATCCAGCAGGATTTGGCTCTGCTGCATATTTATCATTTTGGAATGAAGCTCTTCTAAATTCTTCTAATTTTTAGACATCAGCTTTAAAAGACTCATCCGTCACCTCTTTCTCTTTTTTTAAGGAAACTCACGTTTCCAATAACGATCACGTGGCCGCGTACACATTAAAACGTGAGTTCCCCCCAAAACGCTGAACCTTTGGTCCACAACTCCTTATAAAAATACTATCAAATGTTTCTCAAGGACATTTCTTTTCCAGACGTTTTGTTATAAATATGGAGAGAAAACAAACAAAGTGAGAGACGCACGTCCTTCTGGACACTCAGTGCTGTAGTGGTAAAATTAGAGGTGGGTAAACTCTGAATTTTGTGATCATACAGACCTCGACGCGATGCGAAGCAACGCAACACAAAGCGTTGCGACTCTGTAAGGCTGTCCTGGCTATATTGCATTATGTTATCAGTAAAAGTCATATACAATCAATGACAATGAATAAATGTGTTAGTAGTTTGCAGTTTATTAAATTTAAGAAAACAGTAAAGAAAAGTATGACAACACAACAACACAATTGCAGATTAAGAACTATCTACATACGGAGTCTCCTTTTCACAGTAGTGCCCAGCGGGCCTCCTTGTCCTCCACGTCAGGTCCTGCCTTGCTCCTCCTCTCTCTATTGGACCTGGTGTTTCTCTCCCTGTGCTCTCTGCATCATTGCCTGTCCTCTCACTGCCTGAAAATATATGTTGAATTTAAGAGTTAACCAGTTAAGCAGCCTGTCAATTACACTGACAACATAAGTTAAAGGAACACTCATGTACTACCTACGTCATCATAAATAGCCTACAGCATGTTTTTTTCACATTGAGAACTGACTTGTTTTCTAATCTACGCGTCACCAGGCGTTTTTCTTGTCCTTTTACCGACCAGCGAACACAGAGCGCGCGACTACTACCCCCCCCCGCAACAACTACTACCCCCCCCCTCCCCGTCGGACCTTCTCGACCGGTCCGCAAAATGTTGTCTGACATGAAACCGGTCCGTGAGGTAAAAAGGTCGGGGACCACTGGGCTGATCCACAGCGTGTGTTTACACACCTCCTGGATCCTGATTGGTCACTGCTGCAGCCGCAAGGCGCTGATTGGATGCTCACAGACTGTAATACAGCGCAGATGAACATGATTCAGACTACGGCGTTTATATGTTCAACAATAGGAAACGTAGTTTTAGCTGTTTTAAAATTACACCAAGTTTATTTCGGATTATTCCAACGGAAGAATACAAGGCGCAGGGAACTTTGAGGTGCGTAAACGCTATTTATAGGTGCGTAAACGGCGTTTACGTGCGTTTACCCTCCACTACAGCCCTGCATATGAATCCCTACATGGTTTAGGGCCAAAGTATATCACTGATATGCTTCCACTACATAAGCCTTCAAGATCACTAAGATCTTCTGACACAAATCTGTTAGTGATTCCCAGAGTAAATACAAATCATGGGAAAGCATCATTTAGTTACTACGCAACAAACAGCTGGAATAAACTTCCTGAAGATTTAAGACTTAAACTCTGACCACGTTTAAAACAAGACTGTAAACTTTTATGTTCAGCTTCGCCTTGTGCAATGTAGGTAAAATTTAGCAGTTTTAACCTCTGCCTTTAATTAAACAATTTAAATAAGATTTTAATTTATAATTTAATTTTCTGTTTTTAATTGTCTTAATTCCTGCATTTTATTTCACTTTATTGTATGAAATGTTATGATGTGAAGCACTGAGTCTGCCTTGTGTATGAAAAGTGCTATACAAATAAAATTGCCTTGCCTTCCACCTACTGCAACATTTACATTTTTAGTTATAAAACCTGGCGTCGTTTTCTAAGAAATGATTAAACAGAAGTTCAGAATGTTTCCGTTTGAGGGGTTTTGTCAGCTGCTTGCGAGAATGACCCTTTTGACCTTCCTGCCATTTGTTCCTCATTCTGTGTGCTAATAGCAGACCTCTTCCTCTTCTACTTTCAACGGTGCATTGTTACATCTCCTGAAGCTTTATTTAACGTTAATCATGCACGCCATGAAACTTTAAACGTATTTCACCTACAGTAGAAGCGGAGCGTCGTCACTACCAGACGCCATTGTTTGCTGACTTCGGACCCGTTCGCAAGTTGCGTTGCTGCGAAGGCTGGAAGGCACGTGGGGAGGGAGGGGGAGCTGTGATAGGTGGAAATGTACGGTGGCCCTGGAGGGCAAAACACAACAGCAAATAGGAAAACACAACGGCATTAACTCCTAACGGAAAGGGGAGGGCCTTATAGCAGATAGCAGAGGACGGACCCTTCTGATTGGACAGACGGACTGTCTGTCTTTTAACCGTCTTAATCCTTAACTATTTGCATCGGATTCTGAAATCTGAGAAATGCCGCTTTCTAGATATTCTGTCAATCAATAAATCATTGGCGGGACTGAGAGTCTGATGAGGGGGGAAGTGACGCAGCAGAAAGTCACAGAGAGATGACGATGTTTTACGAGTGTCTTAAAAGTGTCCTACTAGTGTTTCACCATTGTTTTACTGGTGTTTTGTTGTTCAATTATATTTAGGTGTAACTGACAATTTTTTCATAATTTCAACTTTTTTTTTGGTGGGAAGGGGATTTCATAGAGACGAATATGTGAAATAGCAGAGAAATAAAAAAATATATTTTCCATAACATATTTAGTCATCAGTGTATCAAGTGTCTTTACTATAATAACATCACATATTAATTCTTTGGTAAAAACTCACAGTAAACCAGAGAGGAACACGAGACCTTTTAATCACTGAAACACAAGATCAGTATGAAGCTTCAACAAGTTCTAAGTTTCCACCCAAAACAAAACCTGCTGAACAGAATTATGTACGAGTAAATACTGTACATGCAAGCAGACACATGTGTATTTATTGGTCAATGGGACCGTATGCAGTATTATACAGAGTATTTAAGGTTTTTTGCTCATATATAGTCTTGATGGTCTTGATTATACATTCAAGATAATATCCACCGAAAACATATTTACATGGTCTTGTGTGTGTGATATATTGTGTACAATCAATAGATTATCAGCATTTGTTTTAAAGGTGAACTATGATTTTTACATGAAGTTTTTTTCTCTTCTTTTTTCTCTACATCTTTGAGTCACGTTTTTAATGTCTTTCCTTCACCAGGAAATATCTGCAAAGCTGAATTTATAAATCCTTTAAATCCTAAATAGTTTGCGTCCATGTTTGCTGCTCTGCGCTCGTCTTCCTCTTTTCTTCTCCTGGTGTGTTGCTGCCACCAGCTGTGAGTCAGTGGAACATCATCACGGGTTTAGAAGGTGACCTTTAAGTGGGAGCTTTCCTCCCGGGCAGCGTGACGGGTTTGACATCCATTTCTTTGTTGGTGCTTCTTGAAGTCCACGAGGTGAACAGTGATGACGGCAGACACCATGATGATCAGACCCACAGAGAACACCACCATCTTCACCAGGAACACTGAACCTGAAACACACCACAGGTGGATTCATCAAACACAACACGTCTGTGCTTTCTGCTTGAGTTTGTATTTAACCCCTGCGTCCCTGACGAGGAGCTTTAGAGACGCTCAGAACTCAGAATTCACTCAGAAAACACACAATCGTTTCTTTACAACACAGAAAGCCTGAAACTACAAACTGTTATCAGGAAGTCGTCTCCTCTTTCAGTCTTGCCAGCATGTTCGGGGCAAAAATGTTCAGTCGTATTGAAGTCGTGGGTCCAGTGAACCTGGTTGCTATGGATACAGATGATCACTTTGTTCAACAGGTAGACCTGGAGAGAAGTTCCAGAGGTTGTGACCTCTGATCGCTCTCCTCCCTCCTGACTGCAGACTCGTTTAGAACATCTGAAAGTGCTGCTGATGTTTGAGTTGTGAGTCCTGCAGGTCACATGGAGGTCACATGACTCTGAGCTGCTGGAGTCCACTCGGTCCACGATCAGTTCAACTGGAGACACTGGTCCTGAGGGGGGGGAGGTTTCTGTGAAGAGTTTATGAAACATTGCGGCAGAAACTATCAGTGAAATGTTTACAGACTCACCTTGAACTGTGACCTTGTATTCAGCTGCTGTTTTGTTTCCTTTTAGCGTGTCTACTACAGCAGAATAAACTCCACTGTCGACCTCTTGTACATTCTTCAATGTCACAGAGAATTTATCAAACTCAACCCTTCCAGTGAAATTGTCATGGACTTTTGATTGTCCACTATGATCAATTGTTACTAAAGTGACTGTTTCATTGAATTTCCAGTTAACAAGTAAAACCCCCTCAGGAGGATCAGCATGAAGCTTGAGGAGCAGATCACGTCCCTTCAGCACAAACACAGGAGTCACAATGGTTCCTGTAAAAACAGTAGACACATGATACAATAAACATCACACACAATATGTGATGAATCATTCACTGCTGAATGTTCCTCCATCACTACACTTTATTTATTACACATTGAACCAGCGGTTCACCTTCAGCTCATCACTGCTTAACATGAAGTGACAGAAGTCTCTTCAAATGTCTCACGTCGTCTCCTGAGGACACAGAGAAGCTTAACAGCAGAAACTAAACCCACTGAGAGCAAGTTGCTGCTCAAAGTTCTTCTTCTTGACGTGACAAAGTATTTCCATTCTGTCTCTTTGTCCTCTGTCCCTCCGTCTCACCACACTAATGTCCCCCAGCATCAGCTACACTGAACATGGACGACTTTAGAAAATAAGACGTCCACAGACTGAACGCTGAAGGAGTTAAACTCTGAGAGGAGTAAAGGTCAACATTTGTCTTGGAGGGAAAGATGCGTTCAGCCCGTTTCAACAAGTGGTGAGAAAGTGTCTAAAAGCACCTGAATGTTTCCTCTGAATCACACACGTCTTCTGTTGGAACACTCAGAATATTCATTGAATACAACGTGGAGATTACGGAAGATTTTTAAATGAAAATAGTAAACTCATACTGAGACTATTTCCTGCCTCTGAGCTCCGTACAAGAAGGAACAACACAAATCCTGATTAACCACAAAGAAACAGAAAGATTCAAAAATATGTTTCTAACTCAACTTCTATTGTAGAAATAGTGCTTTGACCTTGAAAACCAATCGACAAAATACATATATAAATAAAGTCCTCACCTTGTGCTTCACATAATGTCAGCAGAGAAACAAAGAGAAGCTCGACGCACGACTTCATTGTGCAGAATGAAAGTATGATGATGAAACGAGTGGAGAACGTTTTACTTCCCTTCAAAGCAACAACCAATTACTTCAAAGATTGTTAAAATGAAGCCATATATGTCTCTATGTGGTTGACTTGTAACTACCGTCACATCATGACGTGGGCTCATATTTTATTATTAATGGTCTCTTCACAACATCAGCTCCGACTGCTCGTCTGTAGGAACTCTGTACGGCCACCAAACAAAATACTCTAATTAAACCAGATAAATGTGTCCATCTGCACTAAACACTATAAACATTCCACAGCTTGATGTTAATTCAATCAAATATCATTCATCAAATACAAAAATTACCTACATATTTAACTCCATCATCTTCATCAGTGCTTCATCATCATTACACATTTCCAGTAGAACATCATCACCACCTTTGACTCAAAGATCACTTTCACATCCTCAGCACTCACCTCTGGTCCTCACCTCTGGTCCTCATCACGTCCTTGTTGCCTCGACGGGGAAATTTAATAGGATTCCACTAAATATTCGTTAATTCAATGTTAGTTACTAACCCATTGCATTAGCATTTCATTTCCTTCCTGAGGACACAGAGAAGCTTAACAGCAGAAACTAAACCCACTGAGAGCAAGTTGCTGCTCAAAGTTCTTCTTGACGTGACAAAGTATTTCCTGTCTGTCTCTTTGTCCTCTTTCCCTCCGTCTCACCACACTAATGATGAATCATTCACTGCTGAATGTTACTCCATCACTACACTTTATTACACATTGAACCAGCGGTTCACCTTCAGCTCATCACCTCTCAATGGTTGCAAGACGTCTTTAAATGTCTCACTGAGGACAGAGGACTGACTAAGGAGGTGGAACAATTGCTTTTGACAAAGTTCTCACCTTGTCCTTCACTCCTCCTCTCACACAAACAGTTGTTCCCCAAACTTTAGTCAGACAAGTCATGAATGTATTTGGAAAGTTTGTGTGATTGTTCACTCGCTTTGATGCATTTCTCCTTTTCTGTTTATGTGTTTATATAAGAATAAATAAGTCATTCAGACAAAAGTTTAACATTTGTATATGTAAAAACTTCATATAACATTTATTTTAGCATACTACAAATATTTTGGTACATTTAGTTATTTTCACTTGCTAAATCTAACATTGTTGTATTGAGGCTTTGTCTTTAATTCTTAATACTGAAATAAATGTTTGTAAAAAGAATTTGAGCAGAAGTTTTTACTTTATAGTTTTCAACTTATTATTATTCTTTACACCAACTGCAATTATTACCTTAAATAATAATAAATTAAATAATTTTGCAAAACAAAATGAATTGTAGATACAAGCTATAAGTAATACAAACTCAACACAACATACGATTTTATAAAATGTATTTAGGACAGATGAACAGCCGTCCCCAAAAGACAACTATGAAATATGTGTCAGTGTGTTTGTCTCATTAACCAGAAAAATTCCACTGGACACAAAAATATCAACAGAACATTAAATATTTGTACCCATATCTACATTTTAACAGTCTAGTCTATTGGCTATTGCATCTTGTATAAAGACACACGTGAACAGCATGTACTAAACCCATTAATGAGCCACACATGACATTGCTTGGGAGCCGGGAGTCTCAGGGAGCTCAATCTGAAAAACAAACAAATCTAAAACCCAATAAAAACTCTAGAGCAGCGATTCCCAAAGTGTGGGCCGCGAGAGGTCATTTACAATAAATAAATAAATAAATAAGGTTTTTGAATTTAATTTTTAAAAATTTGAAATTAATATAAAAATATGTATGATGCGGCACATTAGGTGTGTGAAACATTAGTTGATGAAGCACAATTTAAACGGACAGATTAATAAAACAATAAGGCTCTCGCTCGAAACGGCTGCTCTTGTCCGCCTGTCGTTCAACAAACGCGGCGCCCTCTTGTAGTATTAAAGTAAATATACCGCATTTTCCGCACTCCAAGGCGGACTTAAAAGCCTTTAATTTCCCCCAAAACCACAGTGCTTTATAATCCGGAGCGCCTTATATTTATGGATCAATTGGTTAATGGGTTGATCCATACTGGTTGTACACTGCCAAACACGCCAAAGCTCGTCTACGACGGCGAGATGCTGAGCGGCGCTCAAGCGCGTGAGATACGGAGCTGCTTTCAGGGCGCGTCGGAGAAACAAAGCTGTCGTTCTCTCCGAGCACTTCATGAGATTAAAGCGCGAGAGACGGCGTCCTTTTCTCTACAGAAGCTCAACCATCTTAACGGGGAACACAAGTTATTCTAAAAGCAGCCGAAGATTTAAGGCGTGGATGGCGAGGGGGCGGCGGGAGCGGACGCACCTCGCGGCATCGATCGGACCCTGAACGCACCGTCTCACCTGTCAAACAGAACCACAGCGAGCGCGTAGAAAACTCCTTCGAGCGCGAGCAGAGATTCTCCTCGCGAGCAACGAAGTTCACGTTTCACAAGCGAGCAAATACCTCGCGGAGACGAACTTTTGTGAGAAACCGCTGTTTTATAGCATTGACAAAGACGAAAACTAAAGACATTCTCTATAATTCTATTTTAATTGTGTAAAGACACTAGTTTGTTAGTTATCGTTTTATTTTTATTTCAGTTAACGAAAAAAAAAAAAAATCACAGTTTTCGTTTTTTCGTTAACGATAATAACCTTGGTCTCATCTCAGTATTCTAGAGAAAATAGTTCCCGCTTCATCTCATTCGTTCACATCGCTCATGAGTTCACCGTAACTGTCCGGTTGCCTGAAACTGATCATTTGTGGGATTTCCTTTTTTTTCGGCGATCACCACCGAGATAAAAGCTAAAATGTCAACTAACTGTAGCGCAAAATCTAACGTGTTACTTTGAGTGCGCAGTGATACTGAACGCTCGGGTCAGGTGTATAACATGTGACCCGCTCTCAACCAATCAGAAGCCTGGATTTCATCTACTCGTATTATAATGACCGATAACCTATAACAGGTCTTCAACAAGGGGCCGTCAAATGTTGTTGATAAGACCTTTTTTTTTTTTAAACCAATTTTTTTCCCCCACACATTTAAATGTCTTCAGAATCAGAATGTTATTCATGGTCTTTAAATACAAATTAAGACGTTATCTTTCAGTCCACAACACACACATTCAGCTTCTCAAGCTGCTCACTGGTTCGTTCACAGGATCACATCGCGTTTATGCTCACGGCTAAAGAGTGCAAAGCTCCAAAATAAAAGATGACGGACCAAACTCCATAGAATGGGGTCGCTGCTCCATCTCGCCATCAGTTTGGGGGTCCTTGGCCAGAAAAACGTTGAGGACCCCTGATATACAACATATAGAATAAAGACCTGAGTGCTTAGTTGGTTTCTCACCTTGAGCCTGAATGCAGACGAGCAGCCCGAGTATCACAAAGAGAGACATGACGGAGTCTCCGACCCCACGCTGCAACAACCGGTGTTCTGCTTCACAATAAACTAACAGCTGGCCTCTGATTCAAAGAAGCTCGGAGACGTTTGCACACAGCTGCTCGTCATCAGGCTCCTTTTGAACTTTCTCTCTGACGGCTTGAGATCTGTTCCTGTAAAGAGATTTAGTTCAGCCCTTTGTCAAGGAGGCTCATTTACACCTCAACGTTCATCAGAGGAACAAAGTAGGCGGACACCGGATCCTCCTGCTGATTAAGACTTGGGAGCAAAGTGCTGCCTTCAAGTGGTCGGAGTCGGCTGGGTTCATGCTGCCACTTCGTTCTGTCACGACCGGACAACGGCCCTGAACCCAAACGCACGACTCGTGGACAAAAGTTCCAAAAGAAATCAAAGTTCATTAACAAAAGGCCAAGTGCCACTGAAATAAAACACTATGTACTAAACATAAGAACCCAAATGTGGTAAAGCTACGGATGCTCACATACACTGGTTCCTTGAGACAAGACGAACTAGGAGTGATGTGTCGTTCGTGAACGATTCGTTCATTTTGAACGAGTCCTTACAAGGACTCGAGAGTAACGAGTCCTATCAAAAAAAGATTTGTTCATTTCTCGTTCATACTGAACGAGATTCAAAGAACCGAGTCGGTAAAAAGATCCGAACTTCCCATCACGACGAACTAGCACAGGACAAAGGGAGATGCAGACAACAAATACACACAGGTTAAAAGGCACAGGTGGAAACAATCAGGGGCGGGCAGACAATCAGACCAGCACACGGGGGGAAGAGGCAAGTTGCCTGAAACGAGAGGGAGGTTCATTTTCAAAATAAAACAGGAAATCACGAGACACGAGACAACTTGACTAACCCCGTTTCCTGGACATGACGTTAAATATACAGACTGTGGACACAGCAAGTGGACGTGAGCCAGAGGACGAGCACCACGCCACAAAGTACCTCACCTGCTCCACTTTAAAGGCCTTATTCATATCATGTGAGTGTGTCGTAGAGGAAGCTTTTCATCTCTGGTCCTTTTTATTCTTTCAAATGTTGTTTTTGTTCCAGGGAGCAAACATTATTGTCAATAAACTACATGACTATAAAATGTTGTTTGTACTGTGTGTGTTAGTTGCGGTTTTGCTTCAGTTTAACACCTTTAACTTATCTTGTCGATCACTGCACTCGCAAAGACAAACACTTCCTTTCTTTTAAAATGTTCCCTCTGAAAATAGAAAATGTGTCAAAGAAAGAGGAACCTGCAAAAGCAACTTTTCTCAGAAATCATTCTGCACATTAAATGATTCTGATGAGCAGCGTCTAATGGCAGAAACATGTTTGAAAATAAATAAAATATTAACATACAATATAAAGAAACAAAACAAGTAACTGACATGAATGAAAGACGTGGATAACAGGGAGTAAAGAGTAAATGTTTACATACACATTTGTATCAACAACTTATAATGTAAATGTATGATCCAAGTTTTATCCTCTTGCTCTATTTGAAGATGGATTAACTGACTTATGGTCTAAAATTCCCTGCTGATCAGTGGAAACTGATCTTTTTTTCTCTGTGTAAATGCTTCTTAAGCCACTTCTTAACAAATAAATAGATGCAGTAAAACATCTGATCGAGTCACAAACTAACTCTTGTTGTCGGCTGATGTTGTGGTGCACACAACACACAACACCACGACATTGTCAACAACAAAAATGGTCTGGCATGAATTTTACTTGTACACGATTTTTAAAAAACATTTCATGCAATATTTTAATGGTGGATTTCTTTCCTAAATCGTGTTCGGTCTACATTCCTGCACGAGAGGACCAACTACCTAAAGGTTAGTCTTAATATGTGCAATAAACTGCAGCTAGAAGCAACATTTAAACAAGTTCAATACTTAATAATGAATGCAAAGCGGAGCTGGTTGCCACACTTGAGGTTTGTTGCAGTCTGTTCAGAGAAGTTAAGGAGGACGTATGAGGAGGAAGTAATCAAAATGTAAAGTATAGACAATGTATGTTTATGAAAGTAAAAAAAAAAACACTGTAGTTTTTAAAAAGAAGTAGTATTGTATGTCATAGTCTTTCTATTAAAGTATTCCCAAAAAGTATTATATACATGTGTATTACATATACAATATATTGCCTATTTTGATATACCATGAATATTTAAAAACTCCATAGTATGGTATGATTTAATAAACCATGAAAAGTCATAAAGCATTTAATGTCCTTGTGGGTTGTTCTCTTGTCGGGTCGACGGGATTCTTCTTGATTTCTTCTACAAATGTTCAACTTTTTAGTTCTGTGATTATATTATAATTTGAGGAAACCGGACATGCGTCTGAATCCATGTAAAGTGGGATCAAGGTAACTGGGAATGTGAATAGTAGATTACATGACCTTATCATAAAAGTTCAAATAATAGAAACAATCAAAAATATATGAAAAACATGTTATATTTCCATTGGATCACAGTAGTTTAATATTATATTATTATTATTATTATTAATATAATTATTAATATAGTTAAAAGTTTTACATTATTGATCTAAAACAATGGATGACTTTCCTCCAACAAGTGCGTCATTGGCAACGAGCTCCCAAACATCTCGGTGGACCCCGTGACAACAGCTACAGCCAAGGACATCCATCAGGAGTCCATCAGGAATCATCGCTCCACCCTATTTACTCCTTTTCTTCCCGTTAATTCATCAATACCGCTCTACCGCCACCAGATGGCGACGTTATCAAACGGGAAAAAAAGCCTTTAGGAGACAAAGCCAGTGACGTCATCTGCGGAGGGACAGAGTGTGTGTGAAGGACAAATGTCCTGAGACGCATTACGTCATCCTCCACTAATATGATAATACATCTCAGTGCCAAGAAATGAGAGGAGCCATAATCCACAGAACGACTTCACATGTGAACAAGGGGATGAGATGGAGGTGATTGGTGGTGGAGAAAGAGGTGGAGGTGTGGGTGGTGGTGGTGGTGGAAAATCAAAGAAGAGAGGAGGACAGTAGGGAGGTAGAGGAGGAGATGAGGGAAGGGGAGAGGGTTTGAGGTGTGAGAGGAGGAGAGAGGAGGACAGTAGGGAGGTAGAGGAGGAGATGAGGGAAGGGGAGAGGGTTTGAGGTGTGAGAGGAGGAGATGAGGGAACAAAAGAATCAAATGCAACCAATAAAACAGAAGAAAGGGACAAGAGAACTGCTGGAATGGGGGAGAAAAATGACATGAAAAATGACGTTGCTATGACAACGGAAATGTGGGACTCCGTAAAGGACGTAGTTAGCGGCCTTGTGCGCTGAGGGAGGCTTGCGTCGCTTTCGACACTAGTCTGGAAAAATGGGTCGACACGCACAAGGACGCAAGGAAGTGTGAAAAGGCAGCAAGGAGGCAAGGGGGTCTTGAAGCATAAACTAGGCTTTAGAGCAAATGGTAGAAAGGACAAGAGGTAAGGCTGCTTCCTTCCTTAAGACAGACTCTGGCAAAACTTCAATATTAATGCTATTAGACCTCAGTGCTGCATTTGATACTGTTGACTACTCAATACTTTTGGACAGGTTTGAAAACTGGGCGGGGCTCTCAGGCACAGTCTTAAGCTGGTTCAGGTCATATCTACAAGACAGGAACTATTTTTTTTTTCCATTGGCTTCGTATCAGAAACAACCGACGTAACGTGTGAATTAATTTAAAAATCCTACTGCTCACATATAAATCACTACATGGTTTAGGGCCAAAGTATATCACTGATATGCTTCCACTACACAAGCCTTCAAGATCACTAAGATCTTCTGACACCAATCTGGTAGTGATTCCCCGAGTAAATACAAATCATGGGAAAGCATCATTTAGTTACTACGCAACAAACAGCTGGAATAAACTTCCTGAAGATTTAAGACTTGCCCCAACTCTGACACGTTTAAAACAAGACTGAAAACTTTTATGTTCAGCTTCGGCTTCTGCTAATTTTGACCTACATTGCACTTTTAACCTCTGCCTTTAATTAAACAATTCAAATAAGATTTATTTATAATTTTATTTTCTGTTTTTAATTGTCTTTTAATTCCTGCATTTTATTTCACTTTATTGTATGAAATGTTATGATGTGAAGCACTGAGTCTGCCTTGTGTATGAAAAGTGCTATACAAATAAAAAAGTTCAGAGGGAGGGGGAGCTGTGATAGGTGGAAATGTACGGTGGCCCTGAAGGGAAAAACCCAACAGCAAATAGGAAAACACAACGACATTAACTCCTAACGGAAAGGGGAGGGCCTTATAGCAGATAGCAGAGGACGGACCCTTCTGATTGGACAGACGGACTGTCTGTCTTTTAGCCCTTTTAATCCGAAGCCTTTCGCCGGCGACGGAAAGTGACATGGAGGATTCAAATTACCGTGACTCCTTAACTATTTGCATCGGATTCTGAAATCTGAGAAATGCCGCTTTCTAGATATTCTGTCAATCAATAAATCATTGGCGGGACTGAGAGTCTGATGAGGGGGGAAGTGACGCAGCAGAAAGTCACAGAGAGATGACGATGTTTTACGAGTGACAGCTGAGTTTACATTCACCACTCAAAATCACACGCACAAACACAACTAATAATGTCTTTCAAGAATTAAAGTTTAAGAGAGTGAGTACTTAATTGAACCACATGTCATTAACGTACCTTAGTCTTTGCTCCTCCTTAGTTTCTCCCGCGGTTGTGTCTGTTTGAAAACCTTCTTCTGTTGCTAACTCCGGGACTCTTCGGGGTAAACAGGATGTCTATGCAGCGAATAGGTTTACAGACGCGCTCCTTAGCGCCGTCTATCGTCTTGGAGTTTGAAAAGGAACGAACGCGCTTCGGCCCAAAATCCGAATTTCTTTTTTTGCCGTGAGAAATTTGTTGTGTGGCGTGAGTGTGTGTGAAAACATGCAAAAGCTTGTGTCACACGGCGAAACCGTGAGAGTTGGTAGCTCTGTATTTGCGTTGTGCGTTCCTATTTGCTGTTGTGTTTTGCACTTCAGGGCCACCGTAGAAATGAGGGCGACATCTGATTGGCTACAGACAGGTCCATGTTGAAAAAAACGCAGCACTTTGGGGGGGCGGGTTTACAGACGGCTGGCCGAGGAAAGCCGGAGTATTTATGTCAGCTGGATAACGGGAAGATGAGACGCCGCTGTGTCAATGGAGGAAGGTGCGGCAATGAGCGGGACTCCGAGGACACTAGTGGGGACACAGAAACAAAAACACAAGCACATGGCAAGACCATAACAGACAGGGGAATGACATCAACGTGAGGAGAGAATATGGGAGAAAAACACCAAAGTTAGTGTTGTGTTCAAAAATGAAGAAACGCCGGACGGACAGAGGTCATCGCTGATCAAAAGGTTAAAATCAAATGTATTTAATAAAAGAGATGGCGTTGTGGTAAAAAGAACATCTCAGCTGAGGAGCCGCTGGTCTCAGCGACCAACAGGCCCCAGGTCAGTCCTTTGACCATCCCTAGTGCCAGTCTGTCGCCTCCACCAGCGAACTCGAGAACAATGGTTCCTACAGGTATTTATAACAATGCTTAAAGGTGTGAAAGTCAGTGTCCACACCTCTGGGAGTGGTCTTCTGGTGAGTTCAATGTAACTCGGATTTCGAATGATCCTTAGTCAATATCAGTTGTTGTTCAAGTATTACATGCATGCATTCCAGTTGATTACATTACATCAAATACAATCATAACTACATTGGTATTATTCTATTACAGTTGCAGAATTACAGTAGTTTTAGTTCAAAGTGAGACGTTAAGTTCCAGAGAGGGCTTGCCTGCGCCCGGGTCTCACTACAGGTGGCGGTATTGTGGCAGACCAAAGTCTGCAATATGCAATATAAAGAAGGCCGGGCAACGAAGGCGAGAAGATTGGTCACACCTCACAGGCTGCATGTCATAGGAAAGAGGAGTGAGAGACGAAGGGACAAACAAAACAGCAGATCGCTGGTAGCTGGACCTGTGGTGTCCTACGAGAGGAATCCTCAAAAAGACCTGCTGGACACTGACAGAGGAAGAATCGACCGGAGAGCTTTTGGACCGCCCTGGACTACGGCTCGCCGTGTCGATCAGGAAAGATGAGGCCGTGCAGAAACACCTCTCCTGACTCTCTGGATTATCCAACTCACACTCACCACCCCACACGCACCCCCTCCACCCCACCCAATATCCCTAACCCATTTAAACATTTTACTTCCATCCAAATGGGAAAAAGGACGAGTGGTAATTCACGTAAGGCTGCTTCCTTCCACCTACAGCAACATTTCTCCCTAAAACATTTACATTTTTAGTTATAAAACATGACGTTGTTTTTCTAAGAAATGACTTGACAGACATCTGAACTGCCGATCAGCCCTGAACTTCCTCGTTTGAGGGGTTTGTCAGCTGCTTGCGTGAATGACCCTTCCTGCCTTTAGTTCCTCTTCTTTCTTTTAACTTCTACATTCTGTGTTCTTATAGCAAACCTCTTCCTCTTCTGCTTTTTAACGGTGCATCGCTGCATCTCCTGAAGCATCACCTTTACAAACGCTCGATCGGTGCAGTAGTGGAAACCACTGGCAGGATTTATTTCACCTGATTGAGCATCTAATCAACCAGCTCATAGTAAAGTTACTCCTGGTGGTCAGAAACTCCACTGAGTCCCTTTTTTAAATTCTGTATTTTGTACAAATTCCACCTTCCTTCCTCCCCTTTGTATTACACGTCTCCGTACTGTGTCCCATCACATTGACCCCCCTCCACCAGGTGGGGGCTGGACGGATCCAGAGTTGGCGGACTTCGAGCTGCTGGTGATCATGAGCGCCACGATTGAACCGACCTCGGCCACCTCCCAGGTGCGCACCTCCTACCTGCCGGATGAGATCCTCTGGGGCTACGAGTTCCCCCCCGTGGTCTCCCTCTCCCCATCGGGGAAGTACTGTTACGTGGAGAACAGAGGACCCAGATGCAGAGGTGCGGAAAAATGTCTTTTATTCTTCCCAAACTCGAACTAAGGGGGCTGCCGTCAGCAGACGCAGTCCGGGACAAGACTTACAGTAGATCTCGAAAAAGACAACGCTGGATTGGTAACACAAGGACAAGGCAACAGCTCAGCGTTCAACAACAGTCTGACAGGGGAGTAGAGAAACAGTGGTTAGAAATAGACAAACAAATTAAGCAGTGAGCAGAAACAGGTGAGTTGAGAATCAGTGTGAGAGTTGATTGCTATAGAAAGCGGCTGTGGGCGTTTAGGGCGAGTGAATCCATGAATGGGAATGAGGAGGTGTGTTAATGAGTATCAGCTGGGTGTGCGTGTGTGTGTGTGTAGAAAAACAAAACAAGGAGGAATCCGGATCATGACAAGTACGTGGCGGACTTCGGTTTCTTCGACAAAGTGGCCAAGACCAAGACGGCGCCCGTCTTCAAACCGTGCAGCCCGCAGCGCGCGTACCAGAGCAACGGGGCCGGGCCCGTGCCAGATGTGTCCGATCCAGAGAAGATCCGTCTGGAGCAGAACTACCGGGACAGAGGGGGGGAACGAGGCCGGGCGAGAGACACTCCCCTCAGTGTTCGCATCAGCAACGTGTGAACGGTGACGGAGTGGAAGGAAACATCACGTGGAAACAGCTCGGACACTTTTAGACTGAATAGAACCTCTGGACGACGTCTGGGGAGATTACATTACATTACATTACATTACATGTCATTTAGCTGACGCTTTTATCCAAAGCGACGTACAATAAGTGCATTCAACCATAGGGTACAAACTCAGGAGAACAAGAAACAAGAAAGTGCAATTTCCTCAAATAAGCGAATTTACAATTTGCTATAGATGAGTGACGTCACAAGTACAATTTAAGGAGGACGACTGTAACTCACATGAAGGCCTAACACACTGCTGACTGCAGCTACTGCTTCTATTTCAGTGTGGCGAGTGCACACACACCTCACACACACACCTTTGTAACAAAGCAAATGACAGGTAGAGTTATTAATTTGCACAGTAAACCCCCCCATGAAAACAAGGATAAAAAATTGATCTAATCAGGGAGCTGCAGGTGAAGCCCCATTGTCTTGTTTGGCTTCCCCCCTTTTTGTCAAATCAAAAAGAGAATAACCTGGTTAAGTTAACACAGACGGGCTAGAACCTACAATACTTTCCCTAAAATAATCATGATTAATACACACATTTATAATAGTCTCATGATTTTTTGTTTCATGTCAGTATATAATATAAAAAACACCAATGAGTGATGTTAAGGCAAGTTTCACAGAACCACAAAACTCTGTCATGATATTTAATTTCACAAAGACAAAATGACGATGCTCTGTAAAATGTTAGGTAAAGCGCTTCCTGTTAATGAAGAACTACAAACTTCAGGTTGAATATATTGTATTTCAGTCTGTCAGTTATTGACAGTTAGCACTTTATATTATAAAAGCACCTCAGCTGTTGAACTTGGGATCTTGCTGTGGGAAGATGTGCTTTTTAATACGACTAAAATACTTTCATATTAAATATCATTCCAACAAAGCTTATGTGGATTTTCTGTTTCTGTGTCTCAGCTGCTTTAAACTAACGACAAAAGTGGGAAAAGCTTAATTTCAAACGGCTGTGACCTGGATATAAACGCAGCAGTTACTTTATTCATAGAAGCTCTTTCTGTGTGAAGTGGAACCCTACTTCTATTTCTTATTACTAACATTGAATTAACAATGAATATTTAGTGGAATCCTCGTTTTTCAGTGGAGGCAACAAGGACGTGCTGAGGATGTGAAAGTGATCTTTGAGTCAAAGGTGATATTCTGATGGAAATGTTTGATGATGATGAAGCAATGATGAAGATGATGGAGTTAAACATGTGGGAACTTGTCTGTTTTTGTTAAATGACATTTTACTGAATTAAAATCAAACTGTGGAATGTTATTAGTGTTTAAAGTGCAGAAGGACACATTTATCTGGTTTAATTAGAGTGTTTTGTTTGGTGGCCGTACAGAGTTCCTACAGACGAGCAGTCGGAGCTGATGTTGTGAAGAGACCATTAATAATAAAATATGAGCCCACGTCATGATGTGACGGTAGTTACAAGTCAACCACATAGAGACATATATGGCTTTATTTTAACAATCTTTGAAGTAATTGGTTGTTGCTTTGAAGGGAAGTAAAACGTTCTCCACTCGTTTCATCATCATACTTTCATTCTGCAGAATGAAGTCGTGCGTCGTGCTTCTCTTTGTTTCTCTGCTGACATTATGTGAAGCACAAGGTGAGGACTCTTTTGTTGTCGTTTTCAAGGTCAAAGCTTTTATACCGCAGCACTATTTCTCCAATAGAAGTTGGGTTAAAAATTTATTTTTGAAGCTATCGGTGTTTCTTTGTGGTTAATCAGGATTTGTGTTGTTCCTTCTTGTACTGAGCTCAGAGGCAGGAAATAGTATCAGTAAACAATATGAACATAATATGAACATAATATATATATATATATATATATATATATATATATATATATATATATAGTATTGATATTTTCCATATTTAGACACACACATTCAGCTTCCGTTTGCGGATTCCCATTTGAGGGAAAGCTTTCTTTCGCCGTTTCATCTAAAAACCTTCCATATGCTGTTATTACCGTACCGTCCCAACAGAAGACGTGTGATTCAGAGGAAACATTCAGGTGCTTTTTGACACTTTCTCACCACTTGTTGAAACGGGCTGAACGCTTCTTTCCCTCCAAGACAAATGTTGACCTTTACTCCTCTCAGAGTTTAACTCCTTCAGCGTTCAGTCTGTGGACGTCTTATTTTCTAAAGTGGTCCATGTTCAGTGTAGCTGATGCTGGGGGACATTAGTGTGGTGAGACGGAGGGACAGAGGACAAAGAGACAGAATGGAAATACTTTGTCACGTCAAGAAGAAGAACTTTGAGCAGCAACTTGCTCTCAGTGGGTTTAGTTTCTGCTGTTAAGCTTCTCTGTGTCCTCAGGAAGAGACGACGTGAGACATTTGAAGAGACTTCTGTCACTTCATGTTAAGCAGTGATGAGCTGAAGGTGAACCGCTGGTTCAATGTGTAATAAATAAAGTGTAGTGATGGAGGAACATTCAGCAGTGAATGATTCATCACATATTGTGTGTGATGTTTATTGTATCATGTGTCTACTGTTTTTACAGGAACCATTGTGACTCCTGTGTTTGTGCTGAAGGGACGTGATCTGCTCCTCAAGCTTCATGCTGATCCTCCTGAGGGGGTTTTACTTGTTAACTGGAAAATCAATAAAACAGTCACTTTAGTAAGATTTGATCCTAGTGGGAAACCAACTGTCATTCATAATGTCACTGGAGGGTTTGAGTTTCCTGAGAATAAATTCTCTGTGATATTGAAGAATGTACAAGAGGTCGACAGTGGAGTTTATTCTGCTGAAGCAGGAACACTTCAAGGAGACAAACTAGCAGCTGAATACAAGGTCACAGTTCAAGGTGAGTCTGTAAACATTTCACTGATAGTTTCTGTCGCCATGTTTCATAAACTCTTCACAGAAACCCCCCCCCCCCAGGACCCGTGGCTCCCGTTTAACTGATCCTGGACCGAGGGGACAACAGCTCAGGGTCATGTGATCTCCATGTGACCTGCAGGACTCACAACGCTCACATCAGCAGCACTTTCAGATGTGTCGACCGGGTCTGCATTCAAGGGGGAAGAGAGCGACCAGAGGTCACGACCTCTGGGGCTTCTCTCCAGGTCTACCTGTTGCACAACGTGATCATCTGTAACCATAGCAACCAGGTTCACTGGACCCAGGACTTCAATACGACTGAACATTTTTGCTCCTCAAATACTGGTAAGACTGAAAGAGACGACTTCATTAATAACAACACCCCCAACAGTTACATTATTGGACGACAAAGTACACCCTCAAGTACTTTATTGCTTTTACCTTAATTGTCCGCTTGCGAAAGCTGGCATTGCTTGACACTTTGAGGGATTTCCGGGTCTTTTTTTTGGGCAATCGCCACCGAGCTAAAAGCTAAGATGTCAACTAACGGTTGTGCAAAAGCTAACCTGTTACTTTGAGTGCGCAGTGATACGGAACACTCACTCTCAATCACAATGCTGGAGTTCATTTCCCTGTATCATAAAACAGCTTCAACCATTAATTACTATAAAGGTTGGTAGAAAAATGTTTTAATTGAAGAAATCAAATGATTTCTTACTATAGATCACGTTAAAGATGTTTTCACAATCCAAACTTCAGTCCGACAGAAGCACATCAGGCTGTGAACATGTGACACATTCTCAGCTGTGCTGCGTCATTTAAACCAGGAAGACTCTTCTGATCTGGTTCTTGTTCTGTTTTACAGATCCTCTCCCTGTCTGGGTGATTGCTGTTTGCACTGCTGCTCTCACTCTCATCCTAATTGTGGTTCTATCCGTCTGGCTTTGTATTGATCGAAGGAGTAGAACCTGTAAGTCCAAGTAAACGTTCCAACAAATAATCTCAACATCTGTAAAATCCTCTTAGTTTCCTCTACATAGAAACTCAATGTCTCCAAGTCCTCCATAACTATGTACCCACCTGTTTGGTTAAATAGCCCAATATCACAAATCACAGTTTGCCTCCGAGCGCTGAACAATCTGTACAACACAGGACGTCTTTTACTGCATCAGATAAGGAAACACTTTTGTTAAAATACACATGTGATATTTTACCAAAAGGTGCTTTTTATCTCACTGGGATTGTCATGATTTGCTGTTATGATACAAACATCCCAACACATCAAATCCAACACGTCAACATGTGCTTCTGTTTGAGGATGGAGTAAATTAGACACCACCCAAAAGATGGAGTCACTTTATCTGCAGCTCAAGTAAAGTAAATGTACAACAGTTCAGATCTTTAAAGGGCTGTTTGTTCTTCTTCCATCACTGACCTGCAGGTTCAAGGAGCGTTGATAATGTCATTTATGAAGCTGCTCAGGTAATTGTTACGTCTTTTAACATCACCCTCCGGATTTGAAGAAACGGGCAAAATTGAGAAATGATTTTAGAATCAAAACCTTGAACCAAAGTCTTTTCCAGGTTTGTCCAAAGAGAGCGAAGTATTTAAATCAGTGAATGTTAGTCGTCAGGAGATGATTCCCCACGAGGAAAGTAGCACCATTAAGAAGAAGCAAGTAACCTTTTCTTACGTATGTGATTCATCCTGCAGGACGAAACATCTGCACCTCAGAACCCAACAAACGACGTCACCTACAGCTCGGTGAAGTTTCACGCTCGATCTCCTCAGGCAGCCGCGGCGACAGGCAGGAATCAGTCAGAGAGCCTCTACGCTGAGGTGAAGAAACCCGGCAGGTCCTTCAACGATTAAAGAGGAATGTTTCCCCAAATCCTGGAATTCTGCTGGAAGTTTGCAGAGTTATTGAAGCTTTCTGTGTTTTAGTTCATGTGATCTGCTTTAATGCTGAAAGATTCTCTTCGTCACAAACGTGTCATTGGAGAGATTAAAATGATTAAATGTTACTAAACATCACACACATTTAAAAGTTGCCTTTTTTTAGCATCACAATTCGAGATCTTAGTAATTAGATATTTTACATTTAAGATCAATGTAGAAAGAGTAATGAACATGTTGTTGTCCTGCAGGAAGCTTCAGCTTTGGTTCCTGGTTTGATTCTTCATGTCACTTTTCATCTGATCATTTCCTAAAGAGCAACGATTTACACTTTAGACTTTTAAGGCTTCACCTGATTGGTGAGATTTAAGCTGCATGATGCTTCTGTTATAGATTTTTATTTGAAGAATAAAAGTAATCAAATCAAAACTGTGATGAATGTGTGAAACAACAGAGGGAAAATAAGCTTGATTGGCATTAAATGATTTATTTTTCCATAAAGTATTTAGTCATCATTCAGTGTATCAAGTGTCTTTACTATAATAACATCACACATTGATTCTTTGGTAAAAACTCACAGTAAACCAGAGAGGAACACGTCACCTTTTAATCACTGAAACACAAGATCAGTATGAAGCTTCAACAAGTTCTAAGTTTCCACCCAAAACAAAACCTGCTGAACAGAATTATGTACGAGTAAATACTGTACATGCAGACAGATATACAATGAGTATTTATTGGTCAATGGGACCGTATGCAGTATTATACAGTGTATTTAAGCTTATTTGCTCAAATATAGTTGGTCTTGATTAAACATTCAAGATAACATTCACCAAAAACATATTGACATGGTCTTGTGTGTGTGATATATTGTGTACAATCAATGGATTATCAGCATTTGTTTTAAAGGTGAACTATGATTTTTACATGAAGTTTTTTCTTGCCAAAATGCATCTTTGAGTCCACGTTTTTAATGTCTCCTTCACCAGGAAATATCTGCAAAGCTGAATTTATAAATCCTTTAAATCCTAAATAGTTTGCGTCCATGTTTGCTGCTCTGCGCTCGTCTTCCTCTTTTCTTCTCCTGGTGTGTTGCTGCCACCAGCTGTGAGTCAGTGGAACATCATCACGGGTTTAGAAGGTGACCTTTAAGTGGGAGCTTTCCTCCCGGGCAGCGTGACGGGTTTGACATCCATTTCTTTGTTGGTGCTTCTTGAAGTCCACGAGGTGAACGGTGATGACGGCAGACACCATGATGATCAGACCCACAGAGAACACCACCATCTTCACCAGGAACACGGAACCTGAAACACACCACAGGTGGATCCATCACAAACACAACACGTCTGTGCTTTCTGCTTGAGTTTGTATTTAACCCCTGCGTCCCTGACGAGGAGCTTTAGAGACGCAAAGAACTCAGAATTCACTCAGAAAACACACAATCGTTTCTTTACAACACAGAAAGGCTGAAACTACAACCTGTTATCAGGAAGTCGTCTCCTCTTTCAGTCTTACCAGCATGGTCGGAGCAAAGGTGTTCAGCAGGATTTGAGGGGCAAAGGTGTTCAGTTATATCAAAGTCGTGGGTCCAGTGAACCTGGTTGCTATGGTTACAGATGATCACGTTGTTCGACAGGTAGACCTGGAGAGAAGCCCCAGAGGTCGTGACCTCTGGTCGCTCTCCTCCCTCCTGACTGCAGAACCAGTCGACACAACTGAAAGTGCTGTTGATGTTTGAGTTGTGAGTCCTGCAGGTCACATGGAGGTCACATGACTCTGAGCTGTTGTCCACTCGGTCCACGATCAGTTCAACTGGAGACACTGGTCCTGAGGGGGGGGGAGGTTTCTGTGAAGAGTTTATGAAACATGGCGGCAGAAACTATCAGTGAAATGTTTACAGACTCACCTTGAACTGTGACCTTGTATTCAGCTGCTAGTTTGTCTCCTGTAAGTGTTCCTGCTTCAGCAGAATAAAGTCCACTGTCGACCTCTTGTACATTCTTCAATATCACAGAGAATTTATTCTCACCAAACTCAAACCCTCCAGTGACATTATGAAGGACAGTTGCTTCTCCACTAGGATCAAATCTTATTAATGTGACGTTTTTATTGATTTTCCAGTCAACAGCTAAAATCTTCTCAGTAAGATGAGCATGAAGCTTGAGGAGCAGATCACGTCCCTTCAGCACAAACACAGGAGTCACAATGGTTCCTGTAAAAACAGTAGACACATGATACAATAAACATCACACACAATATGTGATGAATCATTCACTGCTGAATGTTCCTCCATCACTACACTTTATTTATTACACATTGAACCAGCGGTTCACCTTCAGCTCATCATCACCTCTCGTTGCGAGACGTCTCTTCAAATGTCTCACTGAGGACAGAGGACTCACCTTGTCCTTCACCCCCCCCTCATCCAAGCTTTGGTCAGACAAGTCATAAATGTGTTATAAAAAACCTTTGATGCATTTCTCCTTTTCTGGTTCTTTATGCGTTTATACAAGAAAATATAAGTTGTTCACACAAACGTTTATTGTCTATATTGTAAAGACTTCATATAATATGATAAGCATACTAATAAGATTTTGATATTCTTTATTAAAATCTCTTAAATTGTTGTATTGAGGCTTTGTCTTTAATTCTTAATATTAAAAATAATTATTTTTTGCAAAAAGATATCTTGAGAAGTTTTCACTCAGCTTACCATTATTTACACTAACAGCAATTATTACCTTCAATTGTACTTTAAGACTTCAAAAAGTCTATAACATATCCGTCATTTTAAAGAGATATAAAACAAAGCAGAAAAACGTTAGTTTTAAAGATTCATATTAACTTCCCTCAAAGGTTCTCAGAAATCACTTGTTGAATGTGTGACATGTTTACACATAAAGACGCAAGACCCCCTTGTGTGTCCCTTGCGTGCCTTTTCACACCTCCTTGCGTCCTTTCTAGGTCTTCTTCAATAAAACACGTTACTGCGCCTGTTCTGTACGGGGCGACGTTTGTAAAATGTCATACGTTCAAAAATCCTGCGCAGTTGTGCCACATTTAGCATTATCATATGAACAAAAAAGCACGACAATATTCACATGTCACTTGTTCAAACATTTTAGAGAGAAATTCATGTGCATTCATGAAATAACTTTCCCAAGGATAATATTTTGGCAGTAACAAAGTTGTTGTTCAGTCGTCAAGTCTTGAATGTTAAATGTACAGCTAAATGTAGACACTACATTTGACATTTAGATTTAAAATTTACATTTAGATGTAACATTTACATTTAGATTTAACATTTACATTTAGATGTAACATTTACATTTAGATTTTACATTTACATTTAGATTATACATTTATATTATTTAACAACTTTGTTACTGGCAAACTTCCTTGGAAAAGTTTAATTTCATGAATGTACATGAATTTCTCTCTAAAATGTTTGAAAAAGTGACATGTGAATATTGTCGTGGTTTTTTGTTTATACGATAATGCTAAATGTGGCAAAACTGCGCAGGATTTTAGAACATGCGACATTTTACAAACGGCGCCCCGTAGTTCTGGAGGTGAATCGCTCTGCAACACAAGCAAGACTTTTACAACCATGAATTGAAATGAGTGCGTTGGGGCAACGACGCAGACGCAAAATATAAAGGCGCATGCTTCTGCGTTTGCGTCTGCGTCGTTGCGTCAACGCACTCATTTCAATTCATGGTTATAAAAGTCTTGCGTGTGTTGCACAGCGATTCACCGCCAGAACAGGCGGAGTAACGTGTTTTTGTTGAAGACGACCTAGAGAGTCACGGCTATTTATTTATTTGTTTATTTATTTATCATAGACTTCATTGCCCCGTGCATCCACACTGCTGCTTTTCATCGCGGACACATTTGTCCCGTATTTTCCTCCACAACTTTGTGCACCTCTCGACCGGCAAACCGGCGTTTGCGGCGATCTCCCTCCGTGAATCCAACCCGCCAATGACGGCTCGTATAAGCGGCAATATTTGCGCATTTCTTCCGACAAAAGTTCTTAAATCTGATCCGTTTCTCTCGTAAACATTCTTCGTTTTAATAATGTTGGTATCGGGCTGTGAAAGCGGAAATGTGAGACTCCGTAAAGGACGTAGTTAGCGGACCAATGGCAGCCTGGTGCGCTGCGGGAGGCTGCGTTGAGCGACGCAAGCCTAGAAAAATGGTTCGACACACGCAAGGAGGTGTGAAAAGCGACGCAAGGGACACGCAAGAGGGTCTTGCGTCTGCGTCGCTCTGAAACGCAGAAGCATAAATCAGGCTTAACGTGTTACTTTGAATGCGCAGTGAACACTTGGGTCAATGTGAACAGCAACTGTACGTTATTAACCAATAATGCACCCACTCTCAACCAATCAGAATGCTGGATTTCATCTACCGTATTATAATTACTAATAAGCTATAATATATAGAGTAAAAACCTCAGTTCTTTGTTGGCTTCTTGTTGGTTTCTCACCTTGAGCCTGAATGCAGACGAGCAGCCCGAGTATCACAAAGAGAGACATGACGGAGTCTCCGACCCCACGCTGCAACAACCGGTGTTCTGCTTCACAATAAACTAACAGCTGGCCTCTGATTCAAAGAAGCTCGGAGACGTTTGCACACAGCTGCTCGTCATCGGGCTCCTTTTGAACTTCCTCTCTGACGGCTTGAGATCTGTTCCTGTAAAGAGAGATTTAGTTCAGCCCTTTGTCAAGGAGGCTCATTTACACCTCAACGTTCATCAGAGGAACAAAGTAGGCGGACACCGGATCCTCCTGCTGATTAAGACTTGGGAGCAAAGTGCTGCCTTCAAGTGGTCGGAGTCGGCTGGGTTCATGCTGCCACTTCGTTCTGTCACGACCGGACAACGGCCCCGAACCCAAACGCACGACTCGTGGACAAAAGTTCCAAAAGAAATCAAAGTTCATTAACAAAAGGCCAAGGGCCACTGAAATAAAACACTATGTACTAAACATAAGAACCCAAATGTGGTAAAGCTACGGATGCTCACATACACTGGTTCCTTGACGTGAGACGAACTAGGAGTGATGTGTCGTTCGTGAACGACTCGTTCATTTTGAACGAGTCCTCTCAAAAAAAGATTTGTTCATTTCTCGTTCATACTGAACGAGATTCAAAGAACCGAGTCGGTAAAAAGATCCGAACTTCCCATCACGACGAACTAGCACAGGACAAAGGGAGACGCAGACAACAAATACACACAGGTTAAAAGGCACAGGTGGAAACAATCAGGGGCGGGCAGACAATCAGACCAGCACACGGGGGGAAGGGGCAAGTTGCCTGAAACGAGAGGGAGGTTCGTTTTCAAAATAAAACAGGAAATCATGAGACACGAGACAACTTGACTAACCCCGTTTCCTGGACATGACGTTAAATCTACAAACTGTGGACACAGCAAGTGGACGTGAGCCAGAGGACGAGCACCACGCCACAAAGTACCTCACCTGCTCCACTTTAAAGGCCTTATTCATATCATGTGAGTGTCGTAGAGGAAGCTTTTCATCTCTGCTCCCTGGAACAAAACCAACATTTGAGAGAATAAAAAGGACCAAACATTATTATGTCAATAAGATACATGAATATAAAATGCTGTTTGTACCGTGTGTGTTAGTTGCGGTTTTGCTTCAGTTTAACACCTTTAACGTATCTTGTGATCACTGCACTCGCAAAGACAAACACTTCCTTTCTTTTAAAATGTTCCCTCTGAAAATAGAAAATGTGTCAAAGAAAGAGGAACCTGCAAAAGCAACTTTTCTCAGAAATCATCCTGCACATTAAATGATTCTGATGAGCAGCGTCTAATGGCAGAAACATGTTTGAACATGAATAAAATATTAACATACAATATAAAGAAACAAAACAAGTAACTGACATGAATGAAAGACGTGGATAACAGGGAGTAAAGAGTAAATGTTTACATACACATTTGTATCAACAACTTATAATGTAAATGTATGATCCAAGTTTCATCCTCTTGCTCTATTTGAAGATGGATTAACTGACTTATGGTCTAAAATTCCCTGCTGATCAGTGGAAACTGATCTTTTTTTCTCTGTGTAAATGCTTCTTAAGCCACTTCTTAACAAATAAATAGATGCAGTAAAACATCTGATCGGGTCACAAACTAACTCTTCACACTGGAAACATCGGCTGATGATGTGGTGCACACATGACCGGAGTAGATTCCTCGGCGTGAGGATTTGGATGTGTGGCGGGAGTGCGTGACGCTTGAGAGTCCTGTATCATTTCCTGTTAAAAGACAGACAGACGTCTGTCCAATCAGAAGGGTCCGTCCTCTCCTATAAGGCCCTACCCTTTCCCTAAGGAGTTCATTTCGTTGTGTTTTTATTTGCGTTGTGCGTTCCTATTTGCCGTTGTGTTTTGCACTTCATGGCCACGGTGGAAATGAGGGCGACATCTGATTGGCTACAGACAGGTCCATGTTGAAAGAAACGCACCTGTGGATCTGCGACGTCAGCAGAGTCTCAAAAAACCCACACACGAGTAAATGCAGTGCGATCCGCAAATATAAATCGCAATTCATTGATCTGTGCATTGGAATGTATTTGTAAATCAAATACATCTGTGAATCTTCCGGTTTGCATTTGTGAGTCGCTCTGTGCGCATTCGCAATTATTAAGACTGATCTCACCCCATAATTTCTCCGCTCAGGTCGCCCGGCCAAAGAAGTCCTGAAGTTCAGGCAGCATGTGGTGGTGTCGACCCACGAGGGAAAGTCCTGCCTGATGATCAAGGTCGCCAACATGTGCAAGAGTCTCCTGCTGGGGTGTCAGGTCAGTGGAGGGAAGCTAAATAGGTCACAAATATAAGAAGATTATATGTGTGTCTACAAACTGTCCAACACTTTGCACTTTGGGGGGGCGGGTTTACAGACGGCTGGCCGAGGAAAGCCGGAGTATTTATGTCAGCTGGATAACGGGAAGATGAGACGCCGCTGTGTCAATGGAGGAAGGTGCAATGAGCGGGACTCCGAGGACACTAGTGGGGACACAGAAACAAAAACACAAGCACATGGCAAGACCATAACAGACAGGGGAATGACATCAACGTGAGGAGACAATATGGGAGAACGAGGGACTTCTCCACGGGGGGCTCCACCCGCTCACAACGCCCATTGCTGTAGCGCACGGGTCTCCAGCCCGCTTGGACCTCATGACACCCACAGGCAGAAGCTGCCTCCTGGGGGGTGAGGTGGCCCCGTTCATCCCCACTGGTCCAGAGGACATGACCGGCCCGGCCGCAAAGGTGGAGAAGGCCACAGGTCTGGTTCGGAGACGTGTTTTATAGGTGGGGGGGGGATTAGTTAAGTTCCAGAGAGGGCTAGCCTGCACCCGGGTCTCTACAGGTGGCGGTATTGTAGCAGACCAAAGTCTGCAGACTTGTTTTGTCCCACCTGGCCAATATAAAGAAGGCGGGGCAACGAAGGCGAGAAGATTGGTCACACCTGACAGGCTGCGTGTCATAGGAAAGAGGACTGAGAGACGAAGGGACAAACAAAACAGCAGATCGCTGGTAGCTGGACCTGTGGTGTCCTACGAGAGGAATCCTCAAAAAGACCTGCTGGACACTGCAGAGGAAGAATCGACCGGAGAGACCTTTTGAACCGCCCTGGACTACGGCTCGCCGCGTCGATCAGGAAAGATGAGTCCGTGCAGAAACACCTCTCCTGACTCTCTGGATTATCCAGCTCACACTCACCACCCCACACGCACCCCTCCACCCCACCCAATGTCCCTAACCCATTTAAGCATTTTCCTTCCATCCAAATGGGAAAAAGGACGAGTGGTAATTCACGTAAGGCTGCTTCCTTCCACCTACTGCAACATTTCTCCCTAAAACATTTACATTTTTAGTGATAAAACATGACGTTGTTTTCTAAGAAATGACTTGACAGAAATCTGAGCTGCCGATCAGCCCTAAACTTCCTCGTTTGAGAGGTTTGTCAGCTGCTTGCGTGAATGACCCTTCCTGCCTTTAGTTCCTCTTCTTTCTTTTATCTTCTACATTCTGTGTTCTTATAGCAAACTTCTTCCTCTTCTGCTTTTTAACGGTGCATCGCTGCATCTCCTGAAGCATCACCTTTACAAACGCTCGATCGGTGCAGTAGTGGAAACCACTGGCAGGATTTATTTCACCTGATTGAGCATCTAATCAACCAGCTCATAGTAAAGTTACTCCTGGTGGTCAGAAACTCCACTGAGTCCCTTTTTTAAAATTCAGTATTTTGTACAAATTCCACCTTCCTTCCTCCCCTTTGTATTACACGTCTCCGTACTGTGTCCCATCACATTGACCCCCCTCCACCAGGTGGGGGCTGGACGGATCCAGAGTTGGCGGACTTCGAGCTGCTGGTGATCATGAGCGCCACGATTGAGCCGACCTCGGCCACCTGCCAGGTGCGCACCTCCTACCTGCCGGATGAGATCCTCTGGGGCTACGAGTTCCCCCCCGTGGTCTCCCTCTCCCCATCGGGGAAGTACGTGGCGGACTTCGGTTTCTTCAAGACTGTTAGCAGAGATGGTTTGCTCAACGGTCCCGGCGTTCATACCCAATGCTAGGCCGAATATTATCGCAGTACAAATAACACAAGTGGAGCATCATGGCTGTTTGACTTGAACTGAGTCGTCTTTATTGAACGCAGGTTCACTTGACCTCTGTTAGGTCACATGTCCATTCAGGGGCATCCTATTGGCTACCGCTTAACACACAATACTGTATATAATGTATAGGAAAAGTAAATATAACAGATTGTGACAATGGAGGGCATATACTCATATATGTTAACACCCCCACTTGCTCTCACATTGGTACATACTCTAACAAACAAATAACAAAACAAAAAAAAAACATTAAGGCCTTTCTGCCTTTATCATGCACATTACTTCACATACGTGGTTAGTTTTCCAAACATGAACTTTGCAAACTTAGTCAACTTAAACTGTGTTACAGGTTTTGTCATCACATCTGCTACCATCTCTTCTGTGGGGCAGAAATTCAAACTTATCTTCCCATCACTCACAGTTGACCTCACAAAATGATATTTTATGTCAACATGCTTACACCTCTGTCTGTTCACAGGATTTTTTGCTAACGCTATTGCGCCTTGGTTATCCTCATACACTTTAGGCACTGGGTATTGATGTCTGTCGATGCCGTCTAGCAGCTGAACTAGATACAATACTTCTTGTGTAGTAGACGCTAACGCCATATACTCCGCCTCACAAGTCGACAATGCGACAGTGGGCTGCTTTTTGGTTTTCCATGAGATCAAAGGTCCATTTTCATTTAGGCTTACACAATACCCTGTGGTACTACGCCTGTCAGTTGTGTCGGCTGCCCAATCTGCATCACTGTAGGCGTGTAGCTGCAGTTTTTCATTGGGGGTTTTTGTGAAGCACATTTCTTTTTCACTTGTACCTTTCAGATATCTCATTACATGTTTGACAGTAGTCCACTGCTCTTCTGTCGGCTCAGTAAAGTACTGTGACAGTTTACTCACAACAAAACTCAAGTCGGGTCTCGTGCATGTAGCCAAATAAATCAGGCTTCCAACAGCCTCTCTGTATTTCTTGACGTCACTCATCACTTGTGCATCATTAGTGTAGTTTAACTTTCGTTCGCAAGGTGTCGTCCTAGGTTTACAGTCTTGCATGTTAAACCTTTCTAGTATGTTTTCCACACATCTCTTTTGTGACATCTTAACACATCCATCACTTTGGTCAAAAACAATACCCAGAAAATGTCTGAGTTTTCCCAAGTCTTTCATTTTAAATCGTGCTGAGAGCATCTCCTTCACAACCTTCAGTGCGTTTTCATCACTGGCACCAATGATTATGTCATCAACCCATATTAAGATGATCACCTTTTCTTTTTCGGTCTCCTTTGCGTAAACACAATGATCAGAAGGATTTTGCACAAAGTTGTTTTCACTCAAATACTCGTGCAGTAACTTGTTCCAATTTCTGCCTGATTGTTTGAGTCCATACAGCGACCTTTTCAGCTTGCATACCAACTTTGTATCTGTGCCAGATTTTACCTCATAACCTTCTGGCTGTTCCATATAGATATCAACATCTATTGGTGCATGCAGGTAGGCTGTTTTGACATCCATCTGATGTAAGATCAAGTCTTCTTGCACCGCTTTTTGCATCAAGACTCTGATACTAGTCAGGTTGGCAGTAGGAGAAAAAGTCTCCTCATAATCCACTCCTTTCCTCTGACTGTATCCCTTGGCAACATAGCGTGCCTTGTACTTTTCTGACCCATCTGCATTGTTTTTAATAGCATACACCCATCTACCCCCCACTGCTTTCCTGTCCTCTGGTAAGTTTGTAAGGGTAAATGTGTCATTTTCTTTTAATGATTGTAACTCCTCATCCATCGCATTAACCCATTCCTCTGATTGGGGTGAGGTTACAGCTTCTCGCAATGTTAAAGGAACGTTAGACGCTACTCTATAACAATAGTCTATGTTAGTGAGTACTTGATCATCACTTTCTTCGTCTCCTGACACATATTCACTCAAATACTCTGGTTTCTTCCTCTCTCTTGAAGGGTATCTCTTTTGCTCAAGTGTCTGTGTGTGGTTGTGTACTTCAAGCATAGGAACTGGCACCTGGTCTTGTGTATGGGCTGGACTCACATCAGTATTTTTACTGGTAACTCTATGCTGCAGCTCAAAGTCATCATCGACAGGTGTCATGTCAGTCTGTGTCTGTTTCTCCGTGTTTGTTTTGTTGACAAACTTCACCAGTCTATGCTTCTGCACTTTTCCAGTGTCAGAAAAATAAACCATATAGGCTGGACTGTTCTTGTCGTATCCAACAAAAAACCCCTTTTCACACCTTGCGTCCAATTGTCTCTTGTCCTGTTTGTAAGCATAACACTCTGAACCAAACTTCTGCATTCTGGACATGTTAGGTTGTTTCCCTTTAATCAGTGAGTAAGGTGTCTGCTTTGTGCGGTTGTTAAAACATCTGTTCCTCAATACAGCAGCTGTCTGGACTGCGTACGTCCACAGCTCTTTTGGTAGCTTACTGTCCAATAGCAAACACCTGGCCATGTCAAAGAGTGTGCGCCAGTTTCGTTCAGCAGTGCCATTTTGATGTGGCGAGTATGGGGCTGAGGTCTCAT